AGAATCGTGGCCCGCTCTTTCGGTCAGAGTCAATTGAAGAAGGAGAGACGATCTCTTAATCGGCCACTTCTTGCAATTATTGTCGCGGACTGCCCCTTCAATCAAATCCCGTCGACAAAGAGAAAAAGAAAGATGCAAAATTAAAAAATTGAATTTATTTGTCACTCGTACTAATGCTTAGTAACTTTTGTACAAAATAATAATTATTGAAGAAATATTTTAACTTGGTTGTACGATAGCGTGTGTCTTCAAATATTAACTTGATATTAGATTAAGTTCTCGCGATTGGTGGAACCTCTGTAATAATAATCATAATTGCTAAGACTTATTTAGTTGAGGTGCGGGTAGTCTTCTCTTAAGCTAGGGCCCGTACGGCTTTGGTGTTGAGTGTTTTGCGGTTCGCAAGTGGTTCGCACTTCACTTAAACTCACTTCAAACTCTTTTCGGAGACAACTCTGATCCAGGCATCAGCCAAGTTGTTCCTTTAAAAATTTTGAAAGAATGATGACTTTTAGGACCCGCAGAGCTCTTCCAATCTTAGCGGAAGATTCGGGGCTCTCTCTCCTCCAAGTACCGCTGTTCGAAATTTTATTTGTTAATTAGTTGTGGAGTTTGTTCGATCGGCATTTATCGATATATCGCCTCACCTTGGACAGTTTGTTTGATTTTTTTGGAGGAGGAAAAAGGGAGAGTGTTGGATGTTTACAAGATAACAAATAACTTTAATCAATGAATATGTGTAAAATGGTCAATAAGAGCCATTCGTTGGATGTTATTTGCGATAATATTCGTGTATATATATGTGTACATATACATATATATACGTGTATACGTTAAAAATTAATTAGGGGGATATTTGGAATCTTTCATATATGAGATGCAAAATTAGCATCCCATACAAATTGTAGAACTGAAAATTCCCAATAAAAAACTCACGTGTAAGATTTACACATGAACACGTATATACATGTGTACACATATATACACAAATATTATCGCAAATAACACCCAGCGAATGGCTGTTATTGACTGTTTTAAAATTCTCTATTAAATAAACTTTAGTTTTATTGTTTTCTTGGGTAATGATAAAATTCTATTCGCGCCCGCTGCTCTATTTTTTATGAGCGTAGTATTTTTTGATGCGGAGATAAGCGGGGTCTGTTTGCAGAGTTATTTAGAGAAAAAAATTTTCCTTTTTTGCTATCATTTCGAAAGAAAATTTTCGTCGCATTGCTAGTAGCGGTCGATATTTTTAAGCGCCGATACAGTTTCGGTTGGCGCTCCGTATCGTTGTTGCCCTAATAGGCACATTTGTGAAAATATTGCACAAAAATGGCATCATAAATGGCGACGTTTTTGCAATGATTGCACTAAGATGATTCGCCATAACGCAACAGTTTTGTCGAAATAAAATTTTGTAAATAATATTTGTCAAAAATTGCAAAAAAGTCGTTATGCATTTTCACAGTATATACCTCCAACAGGCAAATTGTGAAAATATTGCACAAATGTGACATCATGAGTGACGACAATTTCTTGCATTTCTTCATATGCAATTATATTTTTACATATTTGAAACATAACATAGCTGAATTTTTTTTCTCAATTATTGGACAATTTCTTTGTAAAATTAATTTTGCAAATATACTGCTAAGATGATTCGCATATCGTTATTCTTTTGCCGAAATAGTAGTTGGAAAGTAATTTTGCAAACAACTACAAATATTTTAGAAAAGATCAATGTTTTTACATCTATTTTTTCAAATATGTCTGTATAATAGCAAATTACAATTTTAGTGCAAGATTTTGTCACATAATTTTGTAAATGGTTTCCTATCAGGGTGGAGTCTGAGTTTCAAACTTTGGTCGGGTTATTTATTACTTCCATTTATTTGATTTAAAAAAAAAACGAGGTTTATCTGGATGTCGACGCGTCACGTTGCGAAGAAAAGAGAATCGTAGAGTCTCTAGGACGTAACAAAACTGTGGCGAGAAAAAGGTAAGAAAAATAAATTTATTGAGTAATTTTAAATACGTAACTTTACATCTACAAAATGGGGCAAAACATTATGAGATCTTACTATCTTAAGAATGTAAAAAATCTGCAACTAGTTATTATCTCTACTATGTTTATTGTACTTAAACAGTTCTGAAGTTTGATCGTCGTTCAATCTTTACAATGTGTCTGAAACATGTGTCGGTTTATTGCGAAATATTGTACAATTGTTAATACAAAAGGAAGCGCAATTATAATTAAAAATTTGCGCTTAAATTTTATTTTGATGAGAGAAAATATTACAAATCTATACTGTATTTGTTTCTGTTGTCTTGTTGTTATTATGTTAATTTTAAATTAGTAATTTTATATCTCATGTAGTTAAAAATACAATAAAAGAGACAAATCGACTACCAGAATTGAAACTAACAAATGTTATATGTAATATATTATTTCTGTTACTTTTATACATATATATATATATATATAGACAATCAAAAACATTTTATAAATATCGTAAATTGTATTTGTACTAGTAAAACAAAAAAATAATCTTGTGGAAAGCCTGCCGATATTGTTTGCATACGTAGATCAAAAAATGAAAATAACAGAATATACAGTAAATTATAGAAAACGATAAAAAATAAAACGATAGAAAATATAAACTTTATACACACACACACAATAAAAATAATATTACATTTAAATTTTTATGTATTTGGGAATTAAAGTAGCTATATATATAATAATCTGTAAATTTATTATTTACTACTATATATATATTCTTTTCACTAAAATTTCAAAATCTTAACACTATTAATTATTTAAACCATTAAGTATATGTAAATTCAGTCAATCAGCGGCATTCGTTGGAAGTTTTTTGCGATGATATTCGTGTATATATATGTGTATACATATGTAGGTGTTTTACGTGTAAATCTTACACGTGAGTTTTCTTATTGAGAATTTTTCAATTCTTAAAGTTCATATAGGATGCTAAGTTTGCATCTTATATATGAAAGACCCCGTATACCCCCCTAATTAATTTTAAAATATTGCGAAACAAAACTCTTCAGCCAGAAGTAGAACCTAGAATCTCCGGCTTTCCGTCGCCTTTCCTATTCGGCCACCGAGGCACTTGGAGTTAGTTTCGCAATATTCGTTTTTTTTTTCGCAATATTTTAAAATTAATTAGGGAGGTATTCGAGGTCTCTCATATATGAGATGCAAAATCAGCATCCTATATAAATTTTAAGAATTGAAAAATTCTCAATAAAATAGAAGTCTGGACAAAAAGAAAGCGTAGGTCAGACTTGTAGAATGTTGCAAACCAGAATAAAAGAACACATGAATCACATAAACAGAATCTCCATCCAAAGTTCCGTCATAACTCCGAGCACAGAATCAACTTCTCTCATGACTTTGACTGGGATTGCGTTGAGATTTTGGATTACGAAAGATCACAAGCGCCTAATGTCTGAAACGTTGCACATCAAAAATCAAAGTCGAGGTCTTAATCTACACAGCGACACGAAAAATTTAGATAAATCTTATTTACTATTTGTTGATAACTCATCCGGTTAACTTTTTCCGTTACAAACATGTAGACTATTTTTTTTTATTTCGTTAAACTCAACTGTGTCACTATTCGATCCACTCAGTCGCCACTTGCCACTGTATAAGAATGTTGTTTGTCGTTTCCACCTCTAACATGTACAACACTCTTCTTACTTTGCAACACCATACCGCATATTCTTGTAAGTTTTTTTATTATATAAATTCTTTTTTACTAATTCCAGTTATGTATCTTTTGCGACGAACGTTTACATTTGTTTTTAAAATATTGATAAAGACCTAAATAATCGAAGATCGAAACGTCTATACGTCATTTTTGTATTTTTCAAATGAACAATACACATTTACACAACAACAACTGTGTTTGCTCCAACTGCCATATCAACGTATCTTTACTTGATAAAGTTAAGGTTATATAGTTTGTAGTTATTTTGTGCCAAGTTTCAAAACAGTTGATAAAAAAAAATATATATCGGAAGTGTTGACGGTGCAAAAAAAACTTTTTTATCTAAATACAATACGTGTTGTGCGTGTACTTGGCGCCTGTTCTTATTTTTTTTGAAAAAGTAAACTTATCGTGAGTCTGCACCATTTATCCAACCATGCGAAAAGTGGTTTTGCAAATTTGAACGTGGCAATTTTGAATTAAAAGTCGTACACTCAGATTTGAAAAAAACGTTTCCAGATAAAGAATTGCAGAAACTTTTTGATGAAAACCCAAATACATCGCAATGGGAACTGGTTAAGAAACTGAATGTTTCACAATCATGTATTTGGAAACGTTTACAAACCATGAGAAATCCGCAAAAATTCGAAAAACGCATGGACTTATCTCACATGCAGAGAAAGAAGTTTAAAGATAAAGATTTGCAGAACCTTTTAGATAAAAATCCAAATCTATCGCAAAGACAACTGGCTAGTAAATTGAATGTTAGTAAAAAAAAGCTGGTTACTCACAAATATAACATGTCATAATGATGTAATTTAAAATAAAGAAAAGCGGCTATCTCCATATCTTATTGTATTTTTTTTACAATTCTCACGGCCACTAGTTTTAGCGTACATTTACAAAGTAACTGTAACGGTAACGACGTTACAAGTAACGTGTTACTTCTCAACCCTGTTTGTTACATACATACAAAAATTTTATTCTTTGTGTTTTGCAGTTTTCTGTTTCTGTTTTGTGCCATATGTCTTTTTATAAAAGTCACAAAATAAATATAGAAATAGTAGCAAGTTCAAAAGAAATACGAATGCGAATACAAGTTCTTTTGCTCGTTGTGGTCCTTTGCATTCTGGAACTAGAAAAGCCTGTAGTCCATAGCATATCAGCGCAACAAACTGCGTCTATAATGTTGTGAATAGAAACTATATTAATAATCACGCATTTATAATGATATATTATACAAATACTTTATATTATCTAGAGGTTATAATTTCAAAATATATTGTTGTTGTGTATAAATTTATCATAGGAAGTTAAAATTAATTAAATTACAAATTCGTCTAATTAAGTGAACAGGTAGTAACAATATTATGGTGTATGAAGTTCAATTGTAAAATGTAATGTGAAAACTTTCGTTTTATATGATACATGTGCGTAGTATATACATACCTTACTTGTATATAATGTAGAACTTACCATTTGTAATTTCGTAATATAAAATTTTAAAATAGATACTTTTTGTTGCATGAGGTTGTGCTGCATGCTGCAATGAAGTAATACGATAATATGATACCATGGATAAAACAATTAAGTAAACACGCAAATGTTGTTCTGGGATCCACTATATATTTGAGAAAATACCATCCAATAAAGACATTAAACACATGATGATATACATGCAAAAAACAGAATCAAGTTTCTACTTTGCATGATAATATACCTACATGCAAAGTAGAAATTTGGTCCTGTTTTTTCCATAAAACAAATATACACGTTTCGATATAATCAATTAGTTTTAATAGTAATATCCACCATGAAATAGTTATTACCTGAAATGTACAAATTTGAAAAATATTAATTATTACATGTTTAAAGTGTGAAAAAAAAATGTAGTAAGTACATTGTTTTTACAAACAAATATGTGTTACGTTTTTTAGTTCAGCAATATAATTTTATCAATACTTAACATAAAAACATACCTTAAAACCATTTATACTCGTCAAATCACTATTATTATTACATTTTATGCTATATTTAGTAAACCAGCTGGCAGATATATAACTGTGTACCAGCCATGCATTAGCAAGAATTTGAAATACTACAACCATTTAATTTGAGAACTTTTAGATAAAATAATATAAAGGTTCTTAAGCTAAATGGCTGTCGATACTTCATGTAACTTGGTCCGGCGTAAAGTATAAAATACAAATACGCAGAGGTTAGACTTAGTAGCATCAAAGGCGTTTCTACTAACGCCCAATTACGCGTGACCGGATCTACAAATAAAATTGCAGTAAAATATTTAAAACACATTTTTCTATGCAATACTCATTAAACAAACTAAGAATTACGCTTTTTATTTATATATTGGGTGTTTGTGAGATTATAAATAAGTTTTAAACCTTCTCAAAATCGTATAATTTAATACACATCAACATTCCAAGTGAAGTATTTAATTCGAGAATTTAAATAATATTTGCATCACGAATATGTGAAATATTCACTTTATCCTCTTATGGAAAGTAAAACCTTTATTCCGAAAAAGACATCTCGGCCAGTAGATCTTTTTAAACTATATTTATAATTACACGAATACCCAGCATGTAGGCTCGTATAAACCGTAAGTTATAGTACAAATAAGCATTTAACTCGTAAATATTACACATTTTGATATATATATATATATATATATACATTAAATTGTATAATAAACAAATAATAAATTAATAAATATCAAACGACACGGCAGTGCCTCGCGCCAAGTTCACGCGCAACAAAATCGCGCTCGAACGTGTGAGCACACTGTGTCTCTAAATACGCAAAATTCAGATATTTGAGAAGAGACGAGATTTTCACGGAGCAATATTTTAAAAACGTCAAAACTAGTCACTTTCATTTTAGTCTCACTTGTATAAATAAAAAACAGTTTGAATTAAGATTTTAATTTAAATACAATACGTGTTGTGTGTGTACTTGGCGCCTGTTCGTATCTTTTTTTGAAAAGATAAGTTTTTTAAGATATTACACATTTTGTGGTAATATACAAACACGATTCTTTTTTAATAAAACTGTGTAGCACGAAAAGTTTTGTTGGAAAAGCATTGTGTCAAGATGCGTTTTTTATAACAACAACAATAGTTAAATACCGTCAAAAATTATTTCTAAAAATTATTTCTTCAAACTGAGTGTTAATTGTTTTTGTAGCAAATAGTTACTTTACAATGATTGATTTGAGCAAATAAAAAATTATGTACGCGCACTTACATACATTATTTTTTATCAAGACACCGAGCACTGACTATTTTTAATAATCTTTTTTAATACACAACAAGCAATAACTACAACCTTCTGAGAATATATAACTTAGAGAAGTTTTTTACATAGTACGTGTCAAAAGTAAAGGCATCAGCATTTATATGTACATTAAAATTTTGAGAACACTATGTATATAAAAAAACAAACTGACGCAATTAATGAGAAATATTTACCTGCTGAGTCAATCATAAAATAATCATAAACACTGCTCACACTCATTATGTGATTTTTTGTTCACAATATACAAATAATTTTCTGAGTAATTTCTAAGTATCTAAAAGTTGAAAGGAAGTATTTACGAATTGAAAGACGGATCCGTACTGCCGCTAGTATCGTTACACTTTGAAGTCGTATAAATAATGAACGCAAATTATTTGAACTTTGTAAGTCATTTATATAATAATTTCCGGTTACCAGCCAAACAACAACTGAGTGAAGAACGTATTGTTTTATCGCAGTGGTATATAATGAATGCCGGCGAGAAAAAAATTTTCCAATAATATTACAAAATACAAAATGTGTGATATCTCAAAAACTTTTTTTAAAAAAAAGAACAGGCGCCAAGTATACGCAATACACGTATTGTATTCGAATAATAAATTAAAACTTGATCTAATGCTACAAAAAATTATTTTTCTCTGTATTGTAAACTACAAACAATTATTTCTTTATAAAATCTGGTTTACAAAAGAAGTGATATCAAAAAGTAACACCAAGTAAACTTTTGTTTGTTTTATAATTATAATATACTTCATTATAATAGACTATAAAATATCCACAAAATCTCTTTTACAAAAGAAGTAATATACATAGGGGAAAAGTGGCATGAAAGAGCCAGTTGTAGTATGGAGCCAAAAAAACTATTTAAAAAACAATCAAACATAACGTTTATTGTTTCAATGTGTAGGTTACTTATTCCTTTGTGTTAGTCAATAAACAAAAAGACAAAATCTAACAAGCTTAATAAACATAGTTTTACTTAAAAGTAAAATTCGGCTCTTTCATAACATAATGATATTGAAAGAGCCATCGAATGTTATGAAAGAGCCGACTTCTTATAACAAGAATCTTTAACTGTTTATAAACAAAATAATAAACAAACTATTAATAGACATTAATACAATTGTTAACATAACATTAATATAATTGTTAACAAATAATTGTTAACCAAAATGCTAAAACTACTTTCATAACAATCTCTTCAAAATTAACAAAACCATCAACGTAAATTGATATATCTTTTACTTAAATCTAAGTAACTCTTACTATATTAATCAAACTTTCAAAACAACTTTTAAACTTAGAATTGAAAAAAAAACTTAATTTCTTAGGTATCTTTATTAGCAATTGTGACAAAAATAATTTAGCATCTTTTTTATCCCACATCTTCTATGTCCAATCAGAATAAAGTTTACACTAAAACCATATTTGCTTACTCTTTTTATAACGTTTAGTGCACACTATACAATTATTATTATTTTCTTTTTCTAGTTTCCTTTTTTTTATTTTTGATAATATTTTATCAGAATCTAAAGACAAATCATCGTTACATTCACTGTCACAGCTAGATGCATTATTAAAAAGATTTTTTGATTGTTTGGTAGCCGGCTCTTTCAAAACTTTTCCTCTTAAAAATTATAATCTCAAAATACACTATCAAATTAACGCTATGAATGAGAAATATTTACATACTTAAAAGACTAAATACATATATAAAATCGTGATATAATAATTTTTATATTATTTCTTTACACACAAATGTTAAAAAACAAAGAAATAAAACTCAAAAATTTACTTTTCAATGACAGAATCTTTAATACGATGCACCGGCGCTATTTATTTTTAATAATCTGTCAAATGTTTGTGGATGACACACGTCTAGTGTTGCTATATAAAAATTAAAACTTCTGTGAGATTCGTTCAGAAACTGCCGAATAATTAAAAATGGCTCTTTCAAAACCTGGCTCTTTCATGCCACTTTTCCCCTAACTACTACAAATTTATCTACAACATTTATATATATATTCTACAAAAGACATAATATATATTATAATAATAACACAGTAGTAACGCCAATTAAAAAACCTTTATATATATAATTTTGAACTAAGAAAATATGAATATGATCATAAGAGCTGTTTTTGAAGGATGTTATGCCGAAATATACTTTTATATATACATGCATACATGCATATATACATACATATGTATAATTTTATATATACATGCATACATATTTATATATGTGCGCATGTATTTATATATGTGTTCACATGTAAATTTTTACACGTGAATTTTTGAATTGAAATTTTCAATTTTTAAAATCATATAGGATGCTATACTTGCATCTCATGTATGAAAGACCTCTTATATCCCCCGAACTAATTTTAAATCATTGCGAAAAAAACTCCTCAGCCAGTAATCTGGAATCTTCGGCTTTTCGGGCCATCGCTTTCCCTGTTAGGCCACCGAAGCACTTAGAGTCTTTCTCGCAATATTCGTACATATATCAAAGATGGTCTTGATAAATGAATAACGCATACTGAGACCAGCGTGATTCAACAATTAAAGCTCTGAAGTTTAAAGTAAGAAATTATGAATAAGGTCATAAGAGCCGTTTTAGCAGGATGTTATACCGAAATAAACTTTTCTATATACATATATACATATGTATATATGACAGACAATCTACGTATTTATACACATATACATATGTATACATGTATATATAAAAGTAAACGTATACATGTATATTAAGTATACATGTATGTATATTTACATGTTCACATGTAAATTTTTACACGTGAGTTTTTGAATTGAAATTTTCTATTCTTAAAATCATACAGGATACTTGCATCTCATGTATGAAAGACCCCGTATATCCCCCGAATATAATTTTAAGATATTTGTGTAAAAACACAAAAATTTATGTAGACTTTATAGATCACGTTTTACGAGGATCGTTAAAGATAAAACTGAATTTGACCGAAAAAATACTTGTTTTTATGTTAAAAACAACTTTATTATTATTATAATATATATTACGTCTTTTGTAAAATAGATTTTGTAGATAAATTTGTAGTAGTTACATATCACTTCTTTTATAGAAGAGATTTTGTAGATATTTTTTGTAGTATATTATAATTATAAAACAAACAAAAGTTTACTTGATGTTACTTTTTGATATCACTTCTTTAGTGAAACAGATTTTTTAAAGAAATAATTGTTTGTAGTTTACAATACGGAAAAAAATAATTTTTTGTAGCATTAAATTAAGTTTTAATTTATTATTTAAATACAATATGTGTTGTGCGTGTACTTGGCGCCTGTTCTTTTTTTTAAAAAGGTAAGTTTTTCGAGATATCACACATTTTGTATTTTGTAATATTATTGAAAAATTTTTTTTCTCGTCGGCAACACTTTCGATATACCTGTTTTTAATCGACTGTTTTGAAACCTGGCGCAAAATAACTACAAACTATATAATTTAACTTTATGAAGTAAAAAATTAAAAATTGAGATTTAATACTACAAAACATTTTTTTTCTATAAAATTATAAAACAAGTTTTATAGAAAAAGAAGTTTTTGTAGTATTAAATTAATTTTTAATTTATTATTTTTTAAATTTTTACTTCATAAAGTTAAAGTATATATTTTGTAGTTATTTTGTGCCAAGTTTCAAAACAGGTATATCGGAGGTGCACTGAGAGAAAAAAATAGTTGCAGTTATCACAATTTCACTATAATTTATAGTGATTTAAGGTGCCAACTATTTTTTTATAGTTATTTTAACAATGCGCCTTATAGTTGATTCAATAATATATTATTGTTGCCATAGCTTTAACATGCATTCATA